ATATATATATATATATATATATATATATATATACACATATATATATATATATATCAAAGTTTTAAATAGCGGGCTAAAACGTTTATGACAAATGTAGTTATAGCGGAGATTTAGCGGGATTTAGCGGCTAAATTGCACATGAATACAAGTAGCGGCACACTTCCAAAAAAAGCTATTTCTCAAATAGCGGCAACTTTAGCGAGCTATTTATTTCCTTGATATATATATATATATATATATATATATATATATATATATTATTATTATTATTAAAAACAATTATTTATAAGATTCTAAAGTTGTTTAACTATGCTATTAAAACAATTTACTAATTATTTTTAAAGAAAAATTTTCATGAGATACAAAAGAAAAAGATAATATTGATGTTAAAATACATAACTTGAAACAATTGTTTATAATTATGTAATTTATATTTAATGTGAATTATTATTAATTGGTATTAGCAATAACTATTATATAATATAATAGAAACATACATGATTACACTCATTAAGATGTATTAATATGAGAAGTAAAAAATATTAATGACAAATTTTGTAACCGAAAATGGAAGAAAATTTTAGAGGTTTTATTAAATGTTACATGCCAACAATTATATATATATATATATAGATGTAATAAAAAAATATAATGATGAGATGAACATAATTAATATACACAATGTAGAGAATAATGTGGTTCATCCATATTCTCTTTCACATTATCTTATTACCATTTTGAAAATATCTAATTATCTAATTTTTTGTTTCTAATTTATAATTTTTTTTGCTACGTGGACAATATTATGTTTGATCCCATTGTGCATTGTAAAAAAATTTTTTAGATTTAAAGTTGTAAACTTCACTTATATCTTTACGTAGTTCACAATCCATCTAAGTAAATGACATTTGTCAAAATTTATGTGATAACAACATTTATGTATTGAAGATGCTCTAAACCCGAAGTTGACCCGAATATTGCTCATAATTTGATGCTTTGAGGCTTGAGAAGGGTTGCGCGAGCGCTCAAGTCAAAGCTCGACTCGAGCTCGAGTTTGACCGAACTCAGTCGAGCTCGAGCTCATATTTTGCGTTGTCGAGCGGCTCGATATATATTAAATTACTAAAATACCCTTTATATATGTAATTAAATAGTATAACACGATGGTAAATTCACTTAAAAAAATTTTAGACAAGCTCAAGCATTTAATTTCGAGTCGAGCTCGAGTATTGTATTTTCTTATCGAGTCGTGCTCGAGCAGCCTAAAAAAAAATTCAAATCCTGCTCGATAAGGCCAATGACAATGCTCGAGTCGAGCTCGTGAATAATAATTTGTTTTTGTGTGCGAGTATTTGTGTGTGTGAGAGAGAATAATGGTGAGATCCACAAAGTGGGTGGTGAGTAGGAATTGTGGGACCCGATAGAAATATCCTTATTGAGTGGTCAAATCTATATATTTTACCACGAAGTGTACATTTACTTATGACGTTGCACCGACATATTTGACTGACATATTCAAAGTTTGATTTGATCATATGATATAGATCCAATCGTCCAAAATCATTCTTATTTTTTTTGTTCATTATCTCTATTTTTTTTTCTCATATGATCCCAACTTATATATATAATTTTTGAATTCGGACAATCATATTTCAGGTTAATCAAACATATTAAAAAGTTTGTGTTCTAAATTATTCAAACACAAATGAATTCGAACTTTGACAAATAATTAAAAGAACAATCTCAATTACAATTTTGCTTAAAAGATAAAAGCTTACGAACACGATCAATGTTCGACCGTAATCAAACACAAGCTCGAAATACCTTTTGTTCAATTGCTACACTAGTTCTCTCAACATTTTTTTATTTGGCCATTTATTCACTTTCAGTTTAATTAGGCTTTTCACGCATACTAGTAGATATCCTGTGCACATGCACAAATGTACATAAAATATTAGTAAATAATATTTGTGAATTCAATATTAAAATTCTAGATAATGAACATATTATATTTTCAAATATTTGATCATTAGGAACAATAAATTAGCGATTTTATTATTATGAACAATTGTTTATTATCATTAAATTTATTATTATTATTATTAAAAAATAATTTTTTATAAGCTTCTAAAGTTGTTTGACTATGGGTATTGAAACACTTTACTAACTATTTTTAAAGAAATTTTTATAAGCTTCTAAAGTTGTTTGACTATTGTTTGACTATGGTATTGAAACACATTGGTTTGTCTCCTGTTCGTTCGCACTTTTAATCTCTTACATTTTGCCTATCTTAGTAAATAATGGCAAGGTGTATATTCTGCCACTGGTACTATCATACAAGTGTAGTTTCATTTCACAAAGACCATATGCTTGAGATCATATAAAGTCAACGGAACATAGATTTCAGAACACATGAAATCGACAAGCTCATGAAAATAAAAGCGTCATACCAGAACACATGAAATCGACAAGCTCATGAAAATAAAAGCATAATAAGGTATGACGAAGCCAATGGGGAACCAAAATGTTGAACAACACAATAAAGTGAAAATCAGTTCCTATCGTACACAGAATAATGATACAGTATTCAAGTTAAAAAAAAATGAGACGCAAGATCATAAAACAGGGTTAGTTGATCGATCCCCTCTATTTTGAGTTACTGTAAACCAGCTTAAAGCTATTATAAGCAAGCTTTCTCTAGAGGAAGTAGATCTAAACTCTGAAACTCCCAAGTGGAAAATAAAAAAAAAAAAAAAAAAAAAAAAAAAAAAAAAAAAAAACACCAAACATGTCTCCACTAACATAAAATCAGCATGCACCCAAATGTATCTAAACTACAATCCAGCCATAAAAAGGTCGATACAACCTCAAGAGGCACAGGGCAGTGACCCAAGTCAAAACACTTTTGCACACATAAATTCAAATCATATATGCAAAACTATACTCGACTTCTCATAGGTGGCTCAAAAGGTCACTTTTCCACTCATTATGGGGCGCCCTGAGAAAACCGAGGTGGATCAGTAATTGTTAGGCCAAATCTGGGATTGTTTAGGATGCCCCTGAGAGCCTCCGAGTGATCCATCCCTAGGGTTTTGCTGCTGCTGCTGCTGCTGTTCGAGAGAAATCCCAGCCTGAGAGTGGTAGAAATTCGGGTAACCAGGGGCAGACCCATAATTCTGAGACTGCTGCTGGACTTGCCTGAATCCACCGGGCTGCTGATTTTGTGTCTGGTAATTGTAGTACGTGCTAGCCGGGACAGCTGGCATAGTTCTTGAATTTCCATGAAGCCACATTCCCGAGTTTTCATTCTGAGGCGAAGCAATTAATGAATATATATAATACATTCTCATCTTCACAAGTCAAGATTAAAGAACCATTATCTCCTCATTTCAAATTTGAAAAGGAGCAATCAAAAATCAAGATGCACCATTAGTTTTGGAAAGTAATCGTCATTAGACCGAACCAAAAGGGAAATTAGCAATGGAATCCAAAAATATCAGAAAAAAAAAGAAAAAAAAAAGGAAAAATATGTTGGCCCATATTCCAAACTAGGCGAAGAGCGAAAATTAACGTACCTGTTGAAGGGAGAGCAAGTGACTACTATCTTTGTACTGAGAACTCAAAACATCATCATAACTCAAGCTTGTTCCAGATGGGGCACCACCACCAGCAGCAGGATTCATCGAGTAATTCCCGGGAATGGTCGAGCTATTTCCGAAACCACTGTATCCAGAGGGAACAGCTGCAGACTGAGGCGGCAAGCTACTAACAGATGCACTGCTCTTGAACTGAGGAAGCATTGCCGCCAGTGACTGATGGTAGTTACTGCTGCCTGCAAAAGACTGCTGAAAGGCAGAAGGCATGTACGTGTAACTCTGGGGCAAGAAAGGGTAGCCAATCATGTTGGCAAACGGTCCCAAAGTTAGAGTGGGCTGCGAAAACGGATGTACGGCCGCAAGTTGTTGGGGGAGTGGGGGTCCAGTGGCAATATTGTTTCCAGAAAGCGTCTGTGGAGCAGCAGGCTGGCTCGACTGTAAACCAGCAGTCTTCAAAGCCTGAAGAATTCGAAATTCTTTTATTATATAAAGTATCCTACATTTTTTTTTTATTTTTTTGAATTAATATTCTGAAGTCCACTCGATCCAATGGTTTGTGTAAAATATTTATTGCAGGTGTGATTTCTGTGTAAAATTATGCATGTGTGCAATATATTATCTCTTTTAGCGCAAAGCAAACTACACCAGACTAGACCACAGCATTTTAATTTTTAAGAACAATTTTGTTACACAATACAGTTAGATGAATGAGTACCTCGGACATAGAGATTGCTGAAGCATCAATTGAGGAGACAGAGTTCCCATACTTGGCAGCCAAAGATTGGGTCAAAGAAAATGGTGAGTACTGAAGATCTGATTCTCTGGTCGGGTGGACATTTGCGGCCAACAAAGTGCTCGGAAGTGAATTTGTGTATGCATGCTGCTAAAAGATTATACAAAAAGTAAAAAAATAAATGTAAAACCAAAGTGATACCATCAAGAATGAACAAGCTTCAGTACAGATGACAAAGGAGTGGACTTATTCATCAGAAGTCACCAAACAACAGAAATTAATAGTGAAAATAGCAAAAAAAAAAAAAAAAAATATCCATTTGACATTTTGACTTAAGTTTCCACAAGTACAATGATAACAAAATTAGAAAGGACAAATTAAATCAAACCAGAAAGCACGAATTAAACAAACTTCCACATATCCATAGGAAGATAGGGAAGCTATCGTTAAACAGTAATAATAAATAATTAACATAATAAAGAAGGACGCTAATGAAAGCTACACTGCTACAGCTACAATAGCTTAGAAAACTGAAGGTGAATAGTATGACAAAACAAGATTGGATTATTTTCAGCAATTTCCATCTCAGAAAAATACATATTACTTACTAACTGTACAAAATACTTAAACTGGACTTCCCCCACATGCAATTCTACATTTAAAGGCACTCTCTTGAACCTACAGCAAAGGCAGAAAATATTGTACCATAACATTTGAAAATGGAGGTAGACTCTGCATCTGGGAACTTGTCTGATTGAAAGCAGCATTTAAACGTTGTTCATCGTAAAAGGTATAGCCAGAGCTGGAAGAAGGAAAAGGGAATTGATTTCCATGAGCCATAT